TAGAAAAATTGGGTTGTTTTCTCTGCAGCAGCTGAGATTGAGGGGAGACTTGATAGAAGTCTATAAATTTATGAGATGTATAGTTAGGGTTGACAGTCAGAATCTTTCTTCCCAGAGTTGAAATGTCTAATACTAGGGTGCATGCATTTAAAGTGAGATGGGGAAAGTTCAAAGGGGATATGAGGGGCAAGTTTTTTTACACAGAGTGCTAGGAGTCTGGAACACGGTGCCAGGGGTGGTGGTGGAACCAGATATGATAGGGGTGTTTAAGGCACTTTTAGATAAGCACATGAATATGCAAGGAATGGAGGGATGATACGGACCAACGGCAGGCAGAAGGGATTAGTTTAATTTGGCATCATGTTCAGCACAGCATCATAGCCCTTTGACCCATTCCTGTGCTGTACTGTACTGTGCTGTGTTCTACAAAGACAGATTCTTGATTATCAAAGAATAAAGATTATCGGGATATGCAGGAATGTAGAGTTGAGGTAAAATCAGCCATAATCTTATTGAATGGCGGAGCAGGCTTGAAGGTATAAGTGGCCTACTCTTGTTCCTTCCTCATATGTTTGCATGGTGATGAAATTGGAGTGGGAGGAGAATAGATAGGTGTCAGAATCCACACTGATATCAACAACATATCTGGACCAAAAAGGGGGTCCTCTTTAGGATATATGAATGCTATGGGCTAAACTAGAAACCAGAACTAAACAGGTAATTATCTTGAGATTATAACCAGAGCCAAAATTGCACTGCATAAATAATAGAGCTGAACATATTGCTCAAAGATTGATGCAGGATAAGTAGTTTTCAATTCCTGAAGCACTGGTATTAGTATTGGTGTGCAGCTCCCGCTTTCAATCAGGGCGACTCTCACAGAACCCCAATGGGATCAGTGTACTGGCCAGTTGTATTAACTAGGGCTGTACAGAAGGCTTTAAACTAAATAAATGGGGGCAGGATTCACATGAAAGGAGATTTGGAAGGTTAGAGAACAGTGCAGGATAGTGACATATGGAACCAGGGTGTGATAAGAAGGTATAGAGCAAACGTAAGTGCACAAGAAAAAAGGTAGGAGTAGAGAAAATGCTAAACAGAAAAGGAACTAAATGCTTGCTAGCCAATTACATCCACACACCATGAACAAATTAGAAGTAAATGAATATTATATGATAGCCCTTACTGAAACATGGTTACAAAGTGAATTTGACTGGCAACTGAATATTTTAGAAGGACAGTAAAGAAAGGAAAAGAAGTTGTGGTGGTTCTCAGTGTAAAGGATGGGATCAGTACAGTAGTGAGAAATGGTCTGGGTTTAGAAGACCAAGATATAGAATATACTTTGTATCGAGACAAAAAGTAATAAAGGAAAAATTTCACTGGTGGGACTAGTTTATAGGCCCCAAACAGACACACTGTAAGATTTATTACAAATCAGGAAATAGTGACAGCTTGTAAGAAAAAGACTGCATTAAGCAGGGTGGTATTTAACCCTCATAGATAGGTCAAAGCAAATTAGAAAAGGTTAAGAGATGATTGTTGAGTATACAAGATCAATGTAGAGAAACAGGCTCTGACTGAGTGTGCAACAGACCAAGTTGTACTTCTGATTGCAGCTGTGAGGTCATGTTAAAACACCACTGTGAGTGCACCAGAGATGAACAAGATACCTGAGAACTACAGGGATCTCTTGTTAAAATGAAAAGTAACTCTTTATCTCTCAAATAAGGCAGACAAACCTATTATTAAACTCAGGAATACAAGAGGCATACAAATTCTTTTGCCGGTGTAAGGCATAAACTTCCATTTGGAAAGCCGATACAGTGCCAAAGTTTTATTGAATAGTATTGGTAGAGAGTATATATCCATACTTTTGTATCTCAGGCACCTGAACTGTGACCTAATGTCTGAAATGGTAATGGTATGGCCTTGTGGTATTATCACTAGACTGCTAATCCAGAAACCCTGGTAATGACTGGGGGATCCAAGTTCCAATCTTGCCATGGCAGATATTGGAATTTGGGTTCAATAAAAAAAATTTTGGAATTAAGAGCCTAATGATGACCATGAAGTAGGTGTCATTTGTCAGGAAAATCCAGGGAAGGAAATCTGCCATCTCTACCTGGCTTAGCCTACATGTGACTCCAGATCTACAGCAAAATGGTTGACTCTTAATTGCCCTCTGGTAAATTAGGGATGGGCAAGAATGCTGGCCTAGCCAGCGATGCCCACATCCTGGGAATGAAGAATAAAAAAAGTCCATAGTTTACCTGTAGATGGAGTTGATTACTCCCGGGGAATGATTTGGCTCGAGCGAAAGGCCAAGTGAGGTCAAAGAGACAGAGAAGTTGCAGGAAAAGATGCCAGGACTTTTTCTCTTGTGTACTGTCCGAACAATGGATGAACAAATTCCATTGTTGGGAGGTCAAATGGCACTGCAGTCAGATAGTTAGCTATTTGAAACATTCTTTGGCAATTCGAAAAACTTGAAGTAAGTGTACATTAATTGTACATTAAGTGTTCACTGATGAAAGCTCAGCAAGCTGACCTAGATTTAAGTAAACCAGTTCAATCAACACAAATAGAAGTTGAAACAGAGAATTCTGAAATGCCACTATATTAAAAATAGTACTCTATTAAGGAAGTGGAAACCTCTGGCATGACGGGCAGTGGAGTATTTATCATGAGCCATGGTGTTGAGGTATCTGTTGTCAATCAACAGCCATCCTGTTAGGTTTATAGAAAGGTTGTAATTTGAGCTGATGGCTGAGTTATAGGATAAATATGTCATGACAGCTGCTAGGCACCTTTTGAAAATTTGCATGAAACTGACCTTTTCGAAACTAGTTGTACAATAAGTGTACAAAAGCAAAATACTCTAAATTCTGGACAGAGAATCAGAACTGAAAAAAGTTGGAGATAAAACAAGTCCAAAGCACATAGGCAAGACAGTGAGGAGTGGAGAAAAATGGCAAAAACAGTGTTTGATTAAGTTGAAAGCAAGAGAGATTAAATGACAAAAGAGATGATGGTGCAATGCAAAATGGGGGGTGGTGATGGCAGAAATGAAGAAATAAAAAGTGTCTGGAAGAAGTATATATGGGAAAATACTGAATCATTACCTATGGATGCCCTATCTAAAAACAAAATATTTGAGCTTTTGAACTCAATGTTGAAATTGGACGATGAAGAGACAAAAGGTAAGTTGGTTACCTTACTTGAATATGAACAGCTTCATTGATACAGTATAGGATGCCGAGGATAGTGAGGTAAGAGTGCGGGAGTGAGAAGGAAAATTAAAATTAACGGCAATTTTCCTTTTCCACCAATTGTTGCTCCGTTCAAATGAAACTGGTACTAACATTATCCATCATATGCAGAGAGATCTTGCTTTTTCTGAGGCAGTTTCTCAGTAACGGGGATAACTTGATTCCAGCCTGTTTTGATATGTTCTCAGTTGGCTGATAATTCCAAAGCATAATCTGCATGGATGACAGAAGATGCTTGAAGGGTCAGGGAGAAATTGTGTTTTGAGGCGTCTGCATTATGCTTGAAATATCGATTTTGCCCATATATGATTTCAATGAAGTTTCTCAATTTATTCAGTGCCTTCCCAAATAAACTTTCACCATTTAGTCGGCCACAAGCCAACTAATTGCATGAATCTATGGGAATGGTTGATATCTTCGGGGGTGCTTTAAGGATATCATTAAAGCATTTCCGCTGTCTTCCTGCCGATGACCAAGCTCTGGTAGAACAATTGCTGTGGGGGTCTGGTGTAATGCATATGAATAAAATGGTCCACCCAGTGAAGCTGGTTTACAATGATTATCACCTTAATGTTGACCATGTTGTATTGGGAGAGGATACTCCATGAGACCACATTATTTGTCAATGAACTTGGAACATCTCGTAAAGATACTTCTCCAATACTTTGAGGTGCACGTTGTAGGTTGTCCACCTCTCTGGAGCATATACGAGCTTGGGGATCACTGATGCCCAATAAACAATGAACTTAATCACAGGTCTGAGATCCTGGCCCTCAAATATTCTCTTCCTCAGCAAGTTGAAGGCTGACCTGGTACATTGGAGATGAGAAAATGGACCTTTCACTAAACACCCAGAAAATAATGTTGCTTTCCAACCAGCTCCCACAGCAAAAATCTCCCTCCATTGGTTAATATCAATATTAAAATATTTCACATTTTTCATATCTAGGAGCTTCCTTTTAACAAAGACAGAAATGGATAAAGCCTACTGAGAAAATGTGAAGTAAACAGTGTCAGAAAATAATACAATGGTAGCTGAAAACTCTCCTGGCACGCCAAACATTAAAATGGCCGATAAATACTTTGGTTCAGTCATAGATAAGTGTCCCTTTAAATACTGCTTCAGTGATTCCAAAAGACCAACCATTCTAGGTTTGATTGTTTGGTTGGTAAGCAACCTTCTGTTAAATTGGAATCCTAATTGTATCATGAGACTCTGCATTACATGTATTCAAGAGGCCCATGTCTGATTGAGTGGACCTTCAGTCAACTAAAATAATTTCACGATCAAAATGAGGACCACTGGTCCTCGATATACAAATAGAAAGGTAAGCACTCAATGACTTTTACTGATGACCTACCCAGCATCACCACAGGACAGGGTTGTTACCTTCCACAGTATAGCTCCTCTCAACAGAGAAAACTCTTAACTTGTTCATTAAAATATTCTTATTGGCCAATAAAAATGCATTATTTTACTCAGCATATTATTCAGGCATTATTAATATAAAAAATTGGTCTTTTTCACTATAGCAAAAGGAAATTATGAGTTAAATAGCCAATAAAGGCAAACATTCATGTAATTTCTCTCCTAGCCATACTTCTGACTGTTATTTGAGGTATATAACTGCAAAGTGTTGCAACAGATAATTCTGAAGTAAATGTATTTATCTGGTTGAAACAGGTTTATTCTGGAACTAAAGCCCCTCAGTCATTGTTAATCAATACCTTTCTACATTCTCCATGCTGATGGCACATTTCCAGACAGCTCCCGTGGCTGCTGCTAATAATTGCTTATTATCAGACTTGCTGACAAGCTTGACTAGAGGTCCCAGTCCAAAATGAGTTCTTACAAGATTACGTGTTTCCTCATCCTCTGCACACTATGAATGGAAAGCACAAAACTGTATGAAGAATACAAAATCAAACAGAATTATATCCAAAACTCATTCAATACCTCATGAAATTTCTCTGTTTAAAGCATAACTAAAATTAATTTTTGCCTCAATGAGGATTTATGAAGAAAAATAATGTGAACTACAGAGGGGCCAAGAGGCAATTCATTTTCTCATTTCTTCATGGGATGTGGGTTTCACTGGTTAGGCTAGCATTTATTGCCCATCTCAAAAAAAGGTGTTGTGAAGAACATTTTTAAAAATGTTTGGCTATTGAAGCCACTTTATTCTCTATTTTTAGTGCACTGATTAAGATATTGCATCAAATTCCTCTGTGTGTTAGTTTAATGAAGCCATCAATCTGTTTATCCTAAAATTAAATAGTGGAATTTCAAATCCCATGAATGAATTTTTTTATTTCACCTAAGTCTCAAACAGGAAATAATTTCATGCTCAGAAAATATTCAAATTATAGACTGAATTATATGAGGCGCCAAATTCCCCACAACAGAGCTCCAGGCTAAAAATTCACGGGAGAGCTGTCTGAGGAGAACACTTTTAATAGTCAATTGGCTGTTAATAGTTTGGAAGTGGGATTTTCATCCTGCAGGGACAGAAAGTCCTGCCTCAGAGAGCTGCTGGCCAATCAAATGCTGGCAATACTCCAGTACTTCAGATCAGAGGCATGCAGTAACCTTGGAGGATCTTGGGGTCAAAATCCATAGCTCCCTGAAAGTGGCAACTGAAGCGGATAAGGTGGTAAAGGTATCTTATGGCTTGCTAGCCTTCACCTGTCAAGCATTGAGTATAAAAGTTGGCAAGTCATGTTGCAACTGTATAAAACTTTAGTCAGGCCATATTTGGAGTATTGTGTGCAGTTCTGGTAGCTACACTATAGGAAGGATGTCATAGAGGTTTACAGCATGGAAACAGGCTCTTCAGCCCAACCTGCCCAGTTTTTACAATTAAACTATTCCCATTTGCCTGCATTTGTTCCATATCCCTCCATACCTCTTCCATCCTTGTACCTATCTAAATTTTTCTTAAATGATGAAATTGTACTCGCTTCCACCACTACTTCTGGCAGCCCGTTCCAGAAATTCAACACCCTCTGTGTGAAGAAAAATTGTCCTTCTGGACCCTTTTGTATCTCTCCCCTCTCACCTTAAACCAAGCCCTCTAGTTTAAGACTGCCCTACCATTGGGAAAAGTTGTTAGCTATCTACCTTATCTATGCCTCTCATGATTTTACAGACCTCAATAAGGTCAACTCTCAGTCTCCTAAGCTCCAGGGAAAAATGCCCAGCCTATCTAACTTCTCCTTATAACTTGAATCTTCCAGTCCAGGTAGCATCCTATTAACCTTTTTCTGCGCTCTTTCTAGTTTACATATTCTTTCTATAGTAGGTCAATCAGAACCGCACACAGAACTCTCACCCACATCTTGTACAGCTGTATCAAGACACCCCAACTCTTTTACTCAATGCTCTGACCAATGAAAGCAAGCATGCCCAAAGCCGTCAGCTTTGGAGAGGGTGCAAAGGAGGTTCACCAGGATGTTGCCTGGATTAGAATGTATTAGCTATAAGGAGAGGTTGGACTAACCTGGAATATTTTTGCTAGAACATCAGAGGCTGAGGGGTGACCTGACAGAAATATGTAAAATTATGACAGACATGGATAGTATGGGTAGTCTGAATCTTTTTCCCAAGGTGGAAATATCATATACTAGGGATAATAGGTTTAAAGTGAGAGGGGCAAGTTTAAAAGAGATATGCGAGGAATGACTTTTAGACATAATGCTGTTGATGCCTGGAATGTGCTGCCACGGGAGGTGGTAAGGCAGATATGTTAGCAAAATTTAAGAGGCATTTAGACAGACATGTGAACAGGCAAGGAATAGGGGATACATACCATGTGCAGGCCAAAGGGATTAGATTAGAATGGCATCATGCTTGGCACAGAAATGGTCGGCCAAAGAGCCTGTTCCTGTGCTATACTATTCAATCTATATATGTAATGGATCAGTGTTTGAGTCAGTGTTTGGAGATCTTGCCAGCATTTCAAGCCAAGGTCTTGGCAAAGGGGTTTAGAGGCTGAGGTTTGAGATGACAATGAGGCGGGAGGACGATCTGGGGAACTGAAATCTTGCAAGGAGCCAATTAAGGAGGGATCCCTTAGTACCTCATCTCTGTCAACCACCAGATCACACAGGGGAAATTAACTACCCATTGTAGGGCCTCAATTGGTGTCAACTCAGTGGACAGGCCAGATGAAACCATCATCGCTGCTGTAAATGGAGATGGGGCAGGGGCAGGTTGGTTAATGGATTTAATGAGCCCCTACCTTCAAATCTACCAGCAGAAGAGCATAAATTCCCTACTCTCAAATTAAATGGTTGTCCTCTAAATCTCATTTCCTTCTACTTCAGTCTCATGGTGGCATTTCCAAAAATCTTGAACGCTCACATTTTATTTAAAAAGGTCATAAGTAGGAACAAAATTGTGCTGAAAATATGGTGACTGTCAGATGTGATGAAGGGCATAGATGTAACTATTCCTGGAAAATCAGGCAATGGAGGTGTAAGGTCTACAGAGTGCCCAAAGATCTCTACTTGTTTGAATGTGAATAATGAACACAAAAAGCTGGAAACTAACTCAGAAAATCCTTCAAGTTAGGCATCTATATTATGGAGGGGGCCACTTTAAATTTGAAATAAATTTCTCTGTATTTGGCCCCTGCACGGATGTCCCAGTGTCATTTTCATTCTGTGCCTATTGTCCCTAGTGGTTGTGACACAATAGTAAACCAGCAGTCCTTTGCTGATTACTGTTACCCAGTGTAGCCCTACTGCTCCTAATGCATGGTTCTGCTTTTCCAGACGCCCTTGCACTGGACTTGCCCAGCATAGAGCCCCAGTGCGATATTATTGATATTCAAAATCTGCTGATTCAAACTGAAATTAAAAGCACTTTCAAGACATTTTGAAAATCAGTTTTATATAAATAAACTTAGAAATATTATTAGGAAAATATATTGTAAAAGTCAGAAAAGTAAAGAGTTGTCTTGTATCTGTACCTTGAAAATGGCGCGGGCGCAATGCATCTGAAGCTCCTCACTTTCACTGCTAAGATTTCTTACCAGATTCTTAACCATATTTTCTGTACGAATGGCTAGCCTGTAACTTGGCTGAAAAGTCAATGAAGAAACATTTATTAACGAGTTCAATAGAATATTAAATGCAATCTTTATACATGGAATTTAAAAGACCAAGAAGCTTTTTTCTGTTTCTGAAGTTTCATGAACAGTTGAAAAATGTAAGGAGTGTGGAATAACATGAGAATGTGGCAAGTGATTAAATCATTCCTTGTCAGAAGTACTTTACTTTTGCTCATGAAAAACTGGAAAAAAGATGGCAACTCAAGCTCATCAGTTAGGAGCTAGTAAATCCAGAATGTGGAATTTGGAGAACAAAATTATTCCAATATGCAGATAACGGCAAGTTATGGACACTTCAAGTAATTAGTGTCCAGGTGAATCCAGTAAATAGGGCTGTACAGAGGGCTTGAAACTAATTAGAGGGGTGAAGGTTTGGGAGAGGGTATATGTATTTTTACAAAGCAAAAGAATATGGTGGCACTGCAGAGTAACTATTTTGATAATGATCCCCATAGTTGGATAGGAAGGGACAAAGTGTACAAGTATAAACAAACACAGCAACTAAGGTTAAAGGGGGGGAAATGGTAAAAAGACAAAATTAATAGTTCTTTATTTAATTGCACATAGTGTTCAGAATGAAAGGTATGATCTTCATTCATTACCACAGTATGACCTTCTCTCCATTACGGAGATATGGTGACAAGTAGATCAAAGCTGGGAACTAAGTATTCAGACTTATCTGACTTAGTGAGAGACCAGCCAGGAAGGAAAGGGTGGTGGGGTAGCCTTGTTAATATAGGATGGATACGTACGATAGCAAGGAATGATCTATGATCAGATGATGTAGCATCTGTATGGGTGGGGGTAAGAAGCAACAAGTATAAGATGACACTGGTGGGACTAACCAAATGGATCCCTAACAATAGATTTTCTGTAGGGCAGAAAATTAATTAGGACAAAATTAAGACAAATTAAAAAGGGCAGAACATTCATGATAGATGACATTATTCTTCATGTAGATTGGGTAAAATCAAACTGGAAAAGGTAACCATGAGGAAGAATTCAATGAGTTTATTTGGGACAGATTCCCAGAATAATACGTAATGGATCTAACCAGGGATCAGGTTATTTTGGATCTGGTAATGTGTAATAAGGCAGTTTTAACAAATAACTTCAGAGTAAAAGTTTCCTTCTGGAAGAGTAACTATAACAGAGTAGAATTTAGCATTCAGTTTGAGAGTAAGAAATTTGTTGGAAACAACTGTATTACACTTAAATAAGGGTAATTACATAGGGTTGGGGGAGAGTTGGCTGGAATGGATTGGGAAAGTGGTTTCGCAGAAAATACATTTGCGGAACAATGGCAGATGTTGAAGAAAATAGCTCATGATTCACAGCAAGGATCCAAGTAAGGTAGAGGATTCAAGGAAGGGGATAAACCAACCATGATTAACCAAGGAAGTTAAGGATGGTATCAAATAAAAAACACACAAGGTGCCATAGATTAGTGATTAACCCAAAGACAGAGAAACTTTTTAAAGCTAACAGAAGATGACCAAAAAAAGGAAGAAAATAAGATGGGAGTCAACCAGCAAATAATATAACACACAAAAAAAGTTCTTGAAATATATAAAAAGGAAGTCAGAATCCAAAGTGAACATAGGCTCCTTAGAGAGTGCAGAAGTAATGTGGGAAACAAGGAAATGGCAGAGGATTTGAATAAATACCTTACATCATTTTTCACGATAGAAGATACTAACAGATTACAAGAATACAAAATAATCAAGGGACTACAGGTGGGGGTGGGGGTGGGGGTGGGAGTGGGGGAGGGGTAGGAAATAAACATGATTACCATAACAAGAAAAATAAGTACTGGGGTAATTAATGGGGCTAAAGGCTGATAGATTAGAAGACTGGATAACTAATGTAAAATGGAGATAGATGACAACCTGTTACTAATGGAGTGCCAAAGAGATAAGTTCTGGGGCCACAATTATTTACAATATATATTAACAACATGGATAATGGAAGTGGATGTGCTATTGCTGGCTTTGCGGATGAATTAAAATAGGTAGTAAGGAAAGGAATGAACATGACACAGAAAGGGATATAAACAGTTTGAATGGGCTAAAACATCGTTATATAATTTGGAAAAATGTGAGGTTATGCACTTGGTAGGAAGAATAGAACAGCTGAATATTATTTAAATGGATAAAGACAAAAACTGCAGCACAGAGGGATTTGGGTTCCACAAAAGACCGGCATTCCATTTCAATATGTAAAACAGAAGGCCCACAGCCTCCCAGATCATAGCCCCCAACTCCCACCCCATACAGCCTGCTTCTACCTTCTTCCCAAAATCCACAAAAGAACTGCCCAGGCAGACCCACTACTTCTGCTTGATCCTGTCTCATGGAATTTATTTCTTCCTACCATTATGTGATCTTTTTCTCCCCTTGTCCAGTCCCTTCCCAGTTATATACGTGAAAGGTCACTGGACTCAAAACATTAACTCTGTTTTCTCTCCACTGATGCTGCCAGACCTGCTGAGTTTCTCCAGCAATTTCTGCTTTTGTTTGCTTCAGATCTGCATCATCAAGAATTTTTTTGTTTTATTTTAAGGCAAATTGAATGTTGGCCTTTATTTCAAAGGGAATGGAGTATAAAAATAGAAATGTCTACCTAAAACTATAGAAGGCAATAGACCACAGGCCTCCTCCAGCATTGCAGGTGCCAGTCTTCAGCCAAGTTGATTCACTTCACATGACATCAAGAAACAGTTAAAACCATTGGATACTGAAATGGCTTGGGACCTGACAACAATCCAGAAGTGGGGATGTTTGCCAATTATTGCACAAAGTTCAGCACTGTTCATGACTACTCAGATGTTGAAGGAGTCCATGACCAAATGCAACAGGACGTGAACAATATTCAGGCTCGGGCTGAAAAGTGGCAAGTAACATTCATATCACACTAATTCCAGGCAATGACCATCTCCAATAAGAGACAATCTAACCACTGCCCCTTCATATTCAAGGGCATTATCATTACTGAATTCTCTACTATCAATATTTGGACTTCTGGCCTTATGATGGAGAGAAGGTCATTGATGAAGCAGCTGAAGATGATTAGGCCTAAGACACTACCCTGAGGAACTCCTGCAGAGATATCCTGGAGCTGAGATGTCTGACCTCCAACAACCAGAACCATCTTCCTATGCTTTCCCCCAGATTCCCATTGACTCCAGTTTCACTAGCACGCCTTAATGCCATATCCTGGGAGTTACCATTGACTAGAAACTCAATTGGAATCACAACAAAAACACAATGGCTACAACAGCAGGTCAGAGCCTAAAAATACTGCAATGAGTAACCTACCTCCTGACTTTGCAAATCTCGTTCACAATCTACAAAGCATAAATCCGGAGTATAATGGTATACTCCCCACTTGCCTGCATGGGTGCAGCCAGTTCAAGGCAGCCTATTTTATTGCGACCACATCCATAAATATCCACTCTCTCTACTACCAACGCTCAGTAGCAGCAATGAGTCCTATGTACAAGATGCACTTCAAAAATTTGCTGAAGATCCTGGGACAGCATCTTCCAAAGCTACAACTACTTCCATCTCGAAGGACAAAGGCAGCACCACCTGCAAGTTCCTTTTCAAGCCACTCACTATGCTGATTTAGAAATATATTGCCGTTCCTTCACTGTCACTGAGTCAAAATCCTGAAATTCTCTCTCTAATGGCATTGTGGGTCTACCATAGCATTTGGACTGCAGCAATTTCAAGAAGGTAGGTCACCACTTCCTTCTCAAGGGCAACTAGGAACAGGCAATAAATGCTGGTCAGCCAGCAATGCCCACATCCTGTGAATTAATGAACAAAAATCTGTAATACTGTAGACAGTTTTATTTAAGGAAAGATTTACTGGCATTGGAGGCAATCCAAAGGGGGACTCACTATGTTGATTCTGTATGAAGGCATTTTCTTATCAGGAGATCTTAATTAGGTTGGGCTTGTAGTCATTAGAGTTTAGAAGAATGAGAAGATAAGTTATTAAAACATGCAAGATTCTTGGGGGGCCTGACAGGATAGGTGCAGATGTTGTTTCCCCTTGTGGGAGGGACTTGAACCAGAGGGTGTTATCTCATAGAGATACATAGAGAGTGGCGAATTTCTTCTTTCAGAGGGCAGTGCATCTTTACTGTAGAGGGCTGTCGAGGATGCAATGTTAATGTATTCAAGGCTGCGAGTTAGATTTTTAATCAGAAAGGAATCAAGGGTTATGGGGAAAAGGCAGGAAAGTGGAGTTGAGGATTATCAGTCATGATCTCATTGAATAGTGGAACCCACTTGATTGGCTGAATGACCTATTTCTGCTCGTATGTTTTATTAGGGTTAATAATTAGGGTTAAATGCAGAAGAATTAATTCGGCTTCTGATGGCAAACAGAATAATAGCCAAAGCAATTCAATGTCAAAATATGGTATCAAAGGCAGTGATTTCCAAATTATTTTCCAAGGTACATTCAAGAATAGGGAACAACAGAATGATGAAAAAACTGAATTTGCAGCTGAAGGGTTTTTTTGCATGGAATAGGGTACAAATGTTATGGGGCTTTGTCATTAGTTCCAAGAAAGAAATCTTTATTCCATTTCTTCCTGCAACCCTAAATCATTCTTACACCCTCCCCTCAGCTTCAGTACTACTTGGCAATTAAGGTCAAAGTGTATGGTGGTTTGGCTATTCTGAGTGCATAGAGGTAGTGGAGATGCATTTAGACAAAACGGTTACCTGTCATTCAATGCATTATTAAATTTACATGTTTTCATTCAGGACCAGCTGAGCACAAATTGCAGGAGATGTCCAGGAATAGTGGTGTAGCACCTGACATGAAGTTACTCATTTGTACAGAGGAAGAGGAGATGCATACTACAGGAAACAAGGGTGACCAAGCAATCATAGATGGTTAGGCTGCATGGCCAGAAGGAAAGCGTGAGAATCCAAATTAGTGTTGGCAAATGG